TTACTTGACCTTATCCTTATTTAGAGGTATTTCTCAGAATACAGAGATGGAATTAGAGCATAGTTTGGAAACGTCTTGATGAATTTGACAATGTTCCTAAAGCATCGAACTTAGAGTTTGAAGAAATGCTTATCTTCTAATATCGATACTTTTCTAAATCCGCAAAGAACAAGTCAAGCTTATCCTGTCACAAGAACCTCACATCTCCTACATCAAATTTTTGGCGAGGATCTATTTTTTTCTCCTAAAGTGTAAATCGAAAAAGATGCGTCTGGAGCAACGTAGCCACAACTACTGCCGATATATATCGCTATTCGAAAATTAGCCAATGAACATCTACAAAAGGTAGTGATTGCGTGTTTGGTCATATACTGCATGTGGTGTTGACATTACCTAAAAAAATTTAGGCAGTCAGTTTCAGCCAAGAAATAAAATGGACGAAAGATAAAAGATGGAAGCAACATAGTTCCCTTTTTTGCATTGATCTGATTCTTTTTGAATTTTCAATTAAGAAAGGTATTTGAGATACCTACTTGCTTTTGACCCAATGTGAGCTTTCCTTTGTGGAAGAAATAAATATGCATTATTTGTTTTTTGTTCACAATACTGCACATTAGGAATGAAAGACCCCATACGAACATAATTTTTACTACACCCGCAACAACATCGAAAATGTTGACTTTTTTAAAAAAGTCTAAAAGATCTAAGCGTATAATTTACATCTAAACAAACCCGCGTGGCCAACCTCTTACGAGCTGGAGGACATCGTCTACACGAGATACTTGCGGAACATCTAACGTCTATCCTTCAAAAGGAGAGGATCCCCGATCAGTGATCACCAGTACCTCCCGAACAATCCTTCCTCATAAAAAGGGCTAAAATGAGGATCTTCGAAACTACTCCTATATGCCTGCTGAGCGTCCTTTACAAGCTCTTCACAAACATTACTCGCTCATATATCAAGAACACTGGATGAAGCCCAACCTGTAGAAGAAGTTGGATTTATAGGGGATTCAGCTATGTGGATCACATCCAGACAGTTTCGAGGATTATCGAGGTTTGTGAGTACCGCCTACCTCTCGTTCTAACCTTCGTTGACTATGAGAAAGCCTTTGACAGCGTCGAGACTAATGCCATATCGTCAGAGCTCGTCGACCAAGAAGTGAACCCATCATGCGTGAGGACATCGGTCGACTGCTACAGGAACTGCTCTACAACGGTACAGCTTTTCCATTGTCCCCTCAACATACCAATCTCGAAAGGGGTTCGACAAGGCGACTCCGGTTGTCAAGCTGTTTATCGCGGCCTTACAGTGGGTGATGAAATCACTGGATTAGAACGAGAGGTATAGGAGTTGTTGGGAGATTCCTCTCAAATCTTCGTTTTGCCTCCGATATACTACGGCAAAACCTATCTTTTGATTTCGCGACATCAAAACGGAAATGGGGGGTATAGGTTTGTCGTCAACTCTTACGCAACATCGGGGAAATGACCCCACCGTATACAATTCGAGATCAAAACAATGCCGTTATGAAACACATGCGGAAAATACAAAGGTCACGCAAATATCCTGAGCCATTATGTCACTGAACATGGAATGGATAAAGGCAAAGATCAGCCCGAATCAAAATAAGGCTGAACGTCTAAAGCACGAGAAAACTGCACTATACATGATGATCTACGTGTAACAAATAATATGAGATGAATCAATAATGAACGGAATACAAGTGCCCCGGTGGCTACATGACGAAATTAAAGAGATGTCGCAAAATCCAACAGATATCCTAGTTCTTAATACCGAAATCACCAGAGAAACGAGACATCAACCAAAAAAAGGCACATGACTGCAAAAAAGAAACATATCTCGTAATTACAACGGGCTGGGATCAATATAGCAAAGAAAAGAATTAGACGATTTCCATCTGCCTGCGCGCATGACGTTGGCAGGGTCGGCTCTAGAGCGAATGGCCGTGGTCGCTGCGCCTCCTCGGAAGGAATGTGGGGTGAGGCGTCTGTGGGTGAGGCCCGCGTCGTCCAGAGTCCTCTTGATCCTTCTCGTGAGCGCATCTCTTGAAGGTGGTGTCCGAATCCTGCTGCTAAAAATGAAACTACCCGGATTTGGAGAAAAAAGTTTTCGAACACTCTCCACAAGATCAACGCTTGCCCGCTAAGCCGGAAAGCGATCACTGCCCCTACTCCCTCTATCTGTCTTCGATTTTCGTAAGTCAGCCACCAAATATTATCTTCTTTGTATGAGACGTCTCCAACGCGAAGAGCGCATAGCTCGCTGATTCTAAGAAAAGCCACGAATAGCAGAAGAACAGCGGAAGCACCCGCTATTGCTGAAAGTGTTTTCCTGTTCAAAGCCCAGTCAATCACCATATCTACGTCGTATTGCGTAGCCTTTCCCCTGTATTTCACTGGATTTTTTTTGGCCGAACGGAGAAGAGCTTTTAATATGTCTTGATCATCCTGGAGGAGAGGGTGAAAAGAAATGGGACAAAGCTGATATGGTATCCTAGCGATCTGGTTCTTCCTTTGTCGATAAGGTGCGCCACGAAAACGTTCCTGAGCTTGTGTAGGGCCGCAAAAGGGGCATTGAACTTTCCGACGAATTCCAGGAAGTTTTTCTGTACTCTTTTATATATCTTCAGAGTTCCGCCAGCCACCGCGCTGTCGAAACACTCCTCAATCAAAACCGCCACCTTGCTAAGACCAGCGCATGAAGCCATTTTCGCCGTTTCGTCTGCTCTCCTCCTCTTAGAGTCCAGCCGGAGACCTGAAAGG